GAGTCCATATGTGAACCTGGATGTAAGAATGTATCATAATAATGTTATTGTAGCCTTTTAAAGAGTCATCATTTTTTTAATCAAACTGAGAAAAATAGAAGGAACAGTACTTTCCCCCAATCTATAAAGAATTACAAACTCAACTTAGAAAAGTTAGAAGTCATCTAATTAAGGCATTTTGAAGATGCAAGCCTTAATTAAATACCTACTGTAAACTCAAAGTGAAAATAATCAGCATTTCATTTTTCTTTGAAGATTAAAGGGTACAACAGTTACATTAACAAATTATAGTGAAGAAAAACATCCTATTTCTTAGTGAAAACATGCATTATTACTTCTTCCAGCTTACTCTATAACTTAATATTTATTTGGCAAATATTAAACACAAAAAAACTTAAAATTTTGCATTACTAATAACTTTCCAATAAAATTTTCAATCTCACAATATAAAAGTTATTTTAGAATTTGTGAACATTATTAGAAGTATTCTGAAGAGCACTTAAAAGTATAGTTGAAAAAGTGTCCTTTAGCCATTGTTTATGAAACCTATTTTAGATCACCTACATATAAATAAAATTCAATGTGACTATAACTGGAGAACTTTCTTACTGATGAAAATTAGACCTATTTATAAATAAGCATCTAATTAAAAAAAAATTTTGAATTTGTGCCAGGATTCTGAATGTAAAACCAGGACCTCAGAGAACTGTAAACAAATAGTGAAGACATTCTAGGGCCTCAGAATCCTGGCAAGCAAAAAGTTACGATCTCTGTTTACTGACTCTTAGCATGGTAGTTAGGATATTTTGGTTGATTTATTGAAAGCAAAACTGTCTAAAAGAAGACTCCTTATGAGTGACCAGCTCTGATTTACTCAGTAATGTCCAACCAAGCTGTCCAAGTGTGCTTTACTCAAGACAGCAATGTAAAATTTAAAAAAATATTGTTCTTATAACGAGGCACCAATCAGCCCACCATACCACAAAAAAATCCAAAACATACAGCCATTTACTTCAAGCTTCATTAGCACACGAGAATCTTCACACGAGGAGTGGTTGAGCCATCACTTTTGTGCTTGTGAGGCATGTGGAAGCATGCGCTCTCGCCAGCACCAAAGACTCCTGTCTCATTTTTGCCCTTCCTTCTTTTAAACCTTTTAGAGTCCTTCACTGAAGCAATTTGTGGGCACTTAACTCCTTTTGCCTAAATTACTTAAAGGTAATGAAGTTACCTCCAATTAAGGTACCTTTGACCAACAAAAAGTCTGTGTCTGGTTTATTTGGGGCACCTCCAAAGTGGCAAACATCTTGAGTCTGGCAACAATTTCTCAATATACAAGTTGCTGTTACAAAGGATCACCTTTAGAAAATGTAAGGGTGGTTAAAAACAGAATTATAATGCCCCTATAAGACATAATGGAACTCAAAATTAAAGATCTGGAATCTGAACTCTCCAAAATGAAAACATCTCAAGAAGATTCTAATAAAGCAGAATTAGAAAAATATAAGCAACTCTGCCTATAAGAAATAGAAGTTAGAAAATCATTGGCAATTGGAAAAAAAAAAACACCAAAAACAACTAATAAGAGTTTACTAGCAGAGATCATTATCAAATGATCTATGAAGAAAGAGCAAAAGAGAACTTTACCTAGCAATCTTCCTAGCCTAAGAGATTTAGTGATTTGTCTTCCTCCTCAACACCACAGCCTGGAGACTTAGTTGACCAATATACAGCAGGAGTTGGAAAAAAATATAACTAGAGATCTAGAAGAAAATGCTGTTCAATTTGAATCTGGACCCTATACACATTTCTGCTACAGGATCAACTGATATTCCCTTTAAATCAAGACCTACTTTGAAAACATCAAAGAATACGAATTGAATTTGAAGAAATTATATGACCTGAAATATAAATAGTAAAAAAATATTTAGGACTGTTCATATAGCATTTTAATTTGTTCCATTTAACATATAATATGTAAAAATCTTTACTAAAGGAAATTATTTTTGTAAAAGAAGTTACTGTTTGTACACTGTAAAATCTACTTGGACTCATAGGCTGACTAATACTGATAGGGGCTAGTGAGAGGGAGGAGACTGGGTCAGATACTAAGCTGGTGTAACTGGAAATCTGTACACACATATTATTTATAGTCTGTCTAGTCTGAGTTAGTTTTCTAGCCCAAGCACATGTCTGGAGGAATGAGGGGAGCCAGTGCTGTCCGAAGACCAGCCTCAGCACACCGGGAAAAGCATGAGGCCAGGTGTTGGCCTGGAGGGTAGTAAGGAGCTCTGGGGGGTGGACATCATAATGTCCTGGCAACGGTGGAGGCTGCTCACTGCTGAACCCTGTGTGTTCAACCACTTTAAAGAGACAGCTGGAAACAGAATATTAAGGTGGCTTCTTTAGAGTATTAATTCCCCCCTCCCTGCCCATCTTCCAGATTGCCAGCTGTCTGATTAAAGTGTACTTTAAAGGCAAATTCAATTCTTGTCCCTACTTTATTGGCATCAGTGGTAACAGGCTGCCTGAACTCTGGTCTTCTGGTTACAATACCATTTAATTTTTTTCTTTAAGTTTCTAAGGTTACTGAGGGAGGGGTAAGGGCTGACTAGCAGGATGATGGAGCAATTAAAAACAAAATTATAATACTTCATATAATGTTATCTCTTCCCCACAAGCACAGCAAATCAGTATGACTTTGAAAAAGAATGGAAGATTTCAGGGCCAGTGTCCCCACAAGTGACAGAAACCACTGGGAAAGGTTCAAGCAACTGCAGTACCAAAGAGGCTGTTGTCTTTGACATTCCACAGTGGTAATCACCTCAGTTCCCATTTCCCTAGGCCCACCCCACATACTGGATTCTTGGGCTGTCACCTGTGCTGGCTCTTGAGCTCTATTCACCTTGACTGGTGACAAGGCTTCAGCAATACTACAACAGAAAGCACAGCATACAAGGCCAACACCCTAGGCCTACAACCTTAAATTCTATCAGAAGACAGTCACAGTAAGACAGGGAAGGAAACTGTTTAGCTTAATCCATAGAAATGAACAGAGAACACCAAACATAATGAGGAAATGGAGGAATTCACCACAACTGATAGCTCAAAGGCCCTGGGGAAAAAGCCCTAATGTAACAGAACCAGTCAAACTAGTGGAAAACCCCTGAAATCTGATTATAGAACTGAGGCTATCAGAGGAAAGTCAGGAATGGGAAACATGGAGAGAAAGGACCCAATGGATTACGGTGGAAGACTGAGCACTTTGGTAGTGGCACGATGTAGTATGGTAACATACGTTTGAAGAGATGAGAACCTATGACCCTGAAATACAATATATACAGTACTGTAAACCAACATCAGTACAATAAAAATAATTCAAAGAAAAAAATTCTAAAAGTTATTCACACAAAAATAGTGTTTGATCTTACAAGGAATAAACTCCTTCTTGAAGTTCAAATTCTTTGTCTTTGAAAGCTGCACTAACCTTTCTGATCACTAAAAATGTAAAGCTTTCAGCACTTTTGACACTGATGGCACCTTTCAAAGATGTAAATAACATCTCTCTCAATGTCCACACGAACAACAAAACTAAAGCAAATATCTGATGACTATCTCCCTCAAAAGAAGCATCAATTAATTCCAAAAGATTGCCCTACATGCATCTTTGATTTTAACTGTATTTCTCAGACAAAAGATCACTAATTATATGCAGTTTTTTTGCTTTATTATCTATAGAACATTAGTAGTTAGTTTAAATATTTATTGATTGCATGTTTCTATAAACCATTATTTTTCTTTAGAAAACACTTAAGTTTAAAATAAGGAAACACAAACCTCAATATTTAATAACCTGTGATAACTAATAATACTGTAAAGTTATTACACAACCCAAAATTGTTTGAAAGTACATTAATGAGTTTTTAAGTAGCCACAATCTCAAAAAAAAAAAAAGAACCAACTCCAAATTATTTGTAAATGCCATCTCAAACTGCTGAAGTCTATGCAGTATTGCCTGATCTGGTTATGTTTTTCGAAGATCTGCCTACAGAGCAGAAAATGTCACATACATACTGTCTACTTGCCACTGGAAAAATAAATGAGCATGACATTATTTTAAAGAAACCTAATGTAGTTGGAAGAATCTAACTTAACTCATATCATTGTGTTAACTAAAGAAAAAATAATAATCACGATAGAATTTTTATGTAGCAACATGCTAAGGTTCTTTAATATCACCTTAATTTTAAAATTGTTAATACAAGATTCTGTTGGTAACACACATTATTTTCATGTAAAAATTCCCATGTTTGTAGGAAATTACATTATTAAAATTTTTTAATATTTAAAAGATACTAAAACAGTTTCCCTTTCACATTGCACAACATCCATCTAGAAATATAAGGTATACGTTCTTATAGTAGATGAAAAATCTTGTTTTTATACTGAATTTCAGTTTCAATTCAAAGTTAATTTGTTTTACTTTACCAAAAATATTGGTAATGATTATTACAATGTTAATATAGCAGTTTTCTTCCTACTTGGAAAGCTTATATTTTCAAAAATAAAAGCTACCAAACCCAGAGTAATGCCAAGCTAATCAGTAGCAGCCACTGGGACTCAGTATTGTTAGATCAGGTAATTGTGATCAGTAAATTTAATTAGGTGTCTTTTGTAACTACTAAACCGTTGACTTTTTTTTTTTTTACTAAATTAAATAACTAGTATTAAGTGCACTACTGCTGCTACTAGCAGGTCCATGACTTCCATATTTAACACACATTCAAAATATAATAACTATGGCCCTCCCTGGTGGCGCAGCAGGTTAAAGCACAGCACTAAGAAGTTAAAGCCACTTCCGCATGAGTTCGATCCCCACCTGCCCCACAGGTGACCGCATGGTGTGGCAGACCTCTCCTGTACTTTGTCAGTTGACCTGTTCTGCTCCCCACTCTGTCTCTGGTGAGTCCTTGCACCACCCCTGCAACTCTGGCCTGCATGCACAAATAAAATACATCTTAAAAAAATACATATATATATATAACTATAGGTATAATTCTAGTAGTGTTATTTGGCTTTACATTTTCTTTATAGGGCAGACACTGACCAAGATGTACGGACTGAAAATCACGTAAATGTCTATTATTAGTTAGAACTTCTAGTGATTTTATAACTGCCAACCTCAAAAGAATATCTTCAAGTGAATCACATGTATGAATCTGATAAGCCCTCTCCTCCTCTTCTACTTACACCCCTAAACCCCTACTCCCACCTTACTGTACCTAATGTGTATATTTGGACAAAAACACATAGGACAGACTGTTATGATGCGAAGCTAGCATATACTCTTCCTTTCCTATTTTCTTAAAATGATAGATTTACATTATTTTCTAGGCTTTTTGCTTCCAGTCATAACAAAATAATGATCGTCTTCTTCTTTCTTCTTTGCAGTAGGCTTTTTGTCTCCACTAACTGCTTCCTTACCAGATGTTGGCGGCTTCCTGGTTGAAGATGGAGCCTTGCCACTCTTTGGAGGCCCTCTAGCTGAATACTGGCTCTTAGTGGCAGTCTGCACTGACTTTGGTGCAGTTTGCATTTTGGCCGAAGACTGGGGAAGACTCACAATGGACAATGGGGTACGGCCAGTGGACTTAGAGAAGCTGGGTCCTGTCTTCTGGGATGTACTTTTATTCTGAGGCTGCTTTTTGACAACTGAACCCATATTTTTATCTTTCAATTTCTGTGCTGCTTTTGCAGGATCAACTGAAGATACTGAAAGTGGCTGGTTTAAATTCAAGGCTGATTTAAGTTTCTGTGCTGGTATGGCTCCCACGTGTAGTGCTTCATCAGATGACGGAGGCTTTGTTCCTACATTTGTGGTTATGGTTTGGGGGCAAGATTTTGTCATTTTTGTAGGAGAATGAAATGGTGAATGTTTAGGCCTTACATGTACATTTGCTTTAGGGAGCTTTGGACACTTTGATGAAGAATGTAAATGGGCAGCTGAGTGAGATATTGCATTATCCCTGGAAGAAATATGATCGTGTTTTAAATGCTTTGGCTCAGTTTTTCCAGAGCACTTTTTAGGCAACAGTGTAGACTGAGGCACGTTTCGTGAATTCTGGACTGGCATACATTTGGCCTTATGAGTACTGGGTGATGAGATACACTTACTCAGTGACTCAGATACACAATGGACAGTGCTTGTTAAAGAAGCTGAAGAAGTGCTTTTACCTTCTGGATTTAAAGAAGCAACTGAAGATGATGTGCTGCTTGAAGGAGCATGTGGCTTCTTTGTTATGCCTTTTGAAGATCTGAGTTTGAGGTGAGAAGATGCTGATGGAGAATTTGGCAATTTAGAACGGACTGACACAGAACCCAGATTACTTCCTGTCAAGGAAGATGAATGCAGCAACACAGCTGGAGGGTGTGTCTGCTTTTCTTTGCTCTTTAGAATACCAACTGGTGTGCCAGGCTTTGACTTCTGTTTCTGAAACATATCAACTGCTGACAAAGGATTCATTTCAGGAGGTTGAGATGTTCTGGCAGGCGAATCAGGTATACTTTCACTAGAAACTCCTTTTTGAAATGCTAGAATTTTTTGTTCTAGTGTAGCGAACTGTAAGATTCGACAGGGGTCATATTTAAGCAAAAATCCTTGAAGAGTATCCCAGCCTCCACCAACACGAACCATGACATGTTTTCCATGCAGCATCTTTTCCCCAAAAGAAAGTAACAAAATAAAGTTAAACTGTTAAGGTTCATTATTACAATTTATTAGTTGTCACAATTTTGGGCTAAGATTATTTGCCAACATCATTATAAATTGAGGTTTCCTTGTATTACTGAAATAATAAACTTAATTCACATTGAATTACACATGATTTGTATACTAAAAACCAAGTTACTAATAAACAAAACTACAAGGGCAATATTGCTCAATAAATAATTGAATATTGAAGAAGAAAAGAAAAAGAAAAGCAGGTAGCAAAAGGAAAGGAGATATGGGGACTTAAAGAAAAATGTCTCATAATAAAAAGATAAAAATGATTAAAAATTGTACTTTACTACTTAATAAATTACTTTCATAAGTATAACATCAATTTAACATTTCAGAACCTATCATATACCTTAGTATTAGTTCTTCTCTGTAGATGAGGAGATTATAACCTGATAGATTAAGGAAGCTGTCCCTAATCACACAGGCTGGCCTAGCCTCAAATACTCCATGCGGTCCCAACTCAAATGTGCTTTTGTGTGGATAAGACGTAAAGTGCCACTGCTCTGCCAGGGAGCCCAAGCTGCATCTCAGGCCTGATCCAATTCAGTAAGCAAATCTGTACTACTGAATGAGATTGTCCTGCAAATTTTACCTCTAAATCTGATACTCTGTGTGCTATCATTTTTCTAAGATCTTAAAAAAGAAAGCTAATTTAAAAAGAGAAACATAAACATAGATGATTCTGTATGAGTTGTTTAGAGCATGGTGAGTTAATGATAATATATGTTAACAAAAGAAAATGTGGATGATGAAATACTTTAAAAGTTTAATGTTATTCACAATTGGAACTAGAATAGCACTTGTTTTTCATCATATGGGAATAGAATGAGCAACAGATGAAACTTACTTTTCTTATCAGAAAGGAGACTACTAATTGTGGATGGCAAATGGGACAAAGGAAAGAAATGAGTATACACATCAGTACATTGGTATATAGACTGATGCTGATTCGATCAAAAACAGTATATATATTCAACTGCTGTGTCTGTTTTTTTCATTACCGCTTATTAAATGTATTGCTGTGATATTTTCTTGTGACAGAAAATCACTCCCTTTTAAAAATGTGAAAGGGCCCTCCCTGGTGGTGCAACGGGTTAAAGCACAGCACTATGAAGCTAGATGCAACCACTTCACAAGTTCAATCCCCGGCCAGGAAGGAGTCGCACATGTCACAGCAGACCTCTCCTGACCCACCCGCTGGCTCCCTCAGCAGTGTATTTCGTCAATCTGCCTGTTCTGCTCCCCGCTCTGTCTGTGGTGAATCCTCTCACTATCCCTGAACTTCTGGCCTGTATCTCAGTTCTGTATGCATAAATAAATAAATCTTTTTGAAAATGTGAAAAACAGAGTAAGTTACCTGAGGTATATAAAGAATGTTCCTCCAGTTATAATCAAATCCTTCTATTAATAAAATCCTGTATTCAATTTTTTAAAAAGTAAAAAAGGGAGCAAAAGGAGCAATAATTCCAATTTTGAAACAAGATCTGTTAACAAATAGAATATAAATGGAGGACTTACTCTTATAAAGAGTATTTTATCCCCTAGTCGGTACCGTCCTTCAGATAAGTACTCAATAGAAAATCGATGTGAACAACTACAAGGAGGGTCTTCAGCAATATGTTTAACCTAAGATTAAAAATAAATAGTAAAATTAAGTGCTCATTACAAAAAATATTTAACATTAAAATGCAAGATAATCTGATATGTGGGAAACCCAAACTCAAAATGAAGAATTCAAAAACAGTTCAACTATTTACCTATGCCCTATTTCATTTTCATCCAATGGTATATAAAATTCACCACTTACATAAGAACAAAATAATAGGGAATACATTTATGTTGAAGAAACCTTTTTCATATTTCACATGATTGCATTTTTTTTAATTTTTAAGACTGATCCATTTGATTTTAGATTATGCTAATATGCTACATCCGTTTAGTTTCAATTACACCCAAAACTGAACTCATGTATAAAAGGTAAAAAAATAAATAACTGATTTATATGATTGAGACAAAGGATTCATCGAGGAACATGAGATCATCATCAATCACATCATAACAGATTCCATTGTCTTCCAACATCTGTTATTGTTTTTTAACTGAAATAAAATTTCATTATATCATCATCTAAGTTTCAGGTGTTTATTACTGAAAACCAACTTGTGTATATAGCATATTAAGTTAACTAATAAACATCAATTCTATCCTTCACCATACCATTGTCTTCTAAGTACAGTATTACTTGTGACAAGCTATGACAATCTAATACATCATAGTTGAAAGAAAGTATGGCAATTACTTACAGCTTCATGCAGTTCTTCATGCTGACAACATGATTTTGGAATGCTGATGGAATCTTCAGGCCCAGAAATATTAAGTAAGGTCTCTTCTAGCTCAATTTCTTTCTCTAGTTTTACTAATACTGGTGGCTCAACCCCATATCTGAAAACCAATTATGAGATCTTACCACTCAAGCAAAGTCTGATCCAAGCACTTTCTTGAACATTAAAATAACTTATCTTTTATTTCTAAAGTTAACACTATACACCTCTCTTCTACCAACTATTTCACTGGAATGTCCACAAGTGCTTTCTAATGTCCACAGGTTGCCAAAAAGTCATATTATAATCTCCAATTAAAGCATGTCTCTGGATTACTAGATAGTCCTAAATTTTAACTGGGGATTCTAAAAGGCATTTAACATCTGGTCTTGAGTCAAGATGGGACTGAGTTGGGTAAGGAAGATATCTAAGCCTCGGTCTTCTTATTGGGTCCTCTTTGTGTTTAGAGAACATGCTTTGATCTGCTAAACAACTATATGCTCTTACTTTTTTTTCAGATTCTATTGTTAAACTAAAAAACTTAAGAAACCACTTTTACAGTTTAATATTAAGTGAAAGCAAGTTATATGAGCAAGCAGACATTGATACATGGAATAATTTGTGGGAGAACAACATTAATAAGAAACCGAAAGAATAAATATAAATTAAACTTTTAATTCCATCCAAGTTATATTTTATTTATAGAAAAGTGTTTTAGCTAAAACACACTAGATTAAAAACATTTATGACATTAAAACTCTGAATTATTGTGGAATACACACCTTGAAACAATTCGACCAATTTCAAGAAGACACAGATACACTTGTCTTGGATCTTTATGCAAAACTATGAAAAAATAAGACCACATATTTTAAGGGGGAAATTAAATAAGGAAATCTATTTATGGAATGGAAGAAGTTAAAAGAACAATAATCACTTGAAGACTTAAGGAAAGACATTTTTATTTTTTGCTACATATTATCATCTTCTATAATTTTTTTTAAGAAGATACTGTTAATGTAATTAACAGTGCTTTATTTTGTTTTGTACTAATCTTTAGGACAATCAGAAGGTTAAATTCTACTGAAAAGGAGAAGTACAGAATAGTCTTATTATAGCCTATCAGAACCAGTAAACTGGAAGCTAGAGATTTCTAAGTGTTTCCGCTTACCTTTGATCTCTAGAAGCTACATATGTCATTAAAATCAATTACACTGTCAGTATTGACCAACACACCTGGATTAAAGAAGGGTGCAGATTACATTGCTTTATTCTATGCTGGCTGAGAATATCCAGAGGAATATTAAAAAAGCAGTAGTGGAAGCAACTTAACCTGTATGCAGTCAATAAAGACATACATAGTTGAGAATTTTAAAGTAACAATAAAACCAAGTAAAAGCCAGTTTGCTTTTTATTCTCACTATGAACCAATACTCCTAAACAGTGTCAGTAAAAAAATCACTTCTATCAGGATAAACTACTCTTCCTACACCTCCCCCACTCTTGGTATGCTACTATTCCTATCATAACACTGCAATTTCTGTATGTGTATTATACATAAATGCTTTAAAGAAATGTGTACATGGTCTAACACTTGAATAGCTTCCACTTTAATCACTGCACAGATACTTGGTGATTTAAAGGAAATAAGAAAATATGTCAATGATTCTTCAGTAGAACATGAATTTTCAAAATGAGTTGCCAAAACCATTAATCCATTGAAATAATCAAGTTGGTAGTTGATGTTTACAAGGTAAATCTAAATACCATATCATCTGGACTTCTATTATATCTGTAATTACCTAGTTAAAAAGAAGTTACAAGTAATTTAAAATGATAAAGACACCAAGTAGTAAAACCATGTCAACTCATTTAGGAAGTAAAATATTTCTAAAGCATTCTAGATATATTAAATCTTTAACAATATATGGCAAGCTTAATATATTTGATTGCTGAGTCTGGTTCTCCAGTTGTTTCATATATTTAACTTATAAATATTTCTAGGAAAATAAGGTATGGTATTGAAACCATGTTTGGAAAGAAAAATTAGAAGCATGCAAAAATGCACTAATAAACTTAAACATAACAACACTTACCTAAGCCTTCAGATTCAAAGAGATAAGTCTCATCAACTCCAATGAGTCTACACCAGTGAAGGAAGTTTGCAGTATTGTCTCTAGCAAAGAATGAGCCTGAGGCAGCATCTTTCTTACAGGGCACTTTTCTCATTGGAAATTTCTGGAAAAGAAAAAACTAGAATGTCAAAAGTACATCAGGTTATTTTCATTAGATATCTGTCTCAACATTACTAAATAAATATTCAGTGCATTAATGTCTTTTAAAAATACACAACTTTGGTAGAAAAGAAACTTCAAAAATTATTGTATTTTACTTTCCTTTAAGTTCATTCCAGAAATTATTTCTAAGAAAACAGTCTGGTCAAAATAGCAGTAGGATCAAACATCTCTGTTTACTTTCTAAAATAATAAAAATCTTAATTTAAATAAAAAACAAAAGCCTAGTAAAGCCAAACCATATCTCTTTAATATGCTTCTCTATACATAGTTCACTATAAAAAAGTTATTTTGTTTTAAAAGTTAACACACAACCTCATTTTTACTTCTGTATTTGCAGATTTATAAAAATGGTTCTGAGTCTCTTGAGGACACTCTCAAATAAGGAAGTAGTAGCAAATTCGTAACTCAAGTACTTTGAAAACTTAGGTCAAAGTCTTACAGAATGTTCATGTTTTGACAATCTATACAAAGAGTAGACAGTCCTGCTGAGACTGAGAGGTTTTTGTCTCAGTTTGAATATTTACTTGAATAAGCAACTCATACACATGATTTTTTAAAAAGTGATAGGCACAATAGAGTATGTTTTTCTCCTACCTCTAGCCCTCAGTTCCTCTTTCTCCCTAGATATAACCACTATTACCAGTTCCTGGTATATCCTTCCTGTCACTATTATTTTCCAGAATTAAAATAGCTTTGTGTGTTTTTCTAAGTGTAAGAATATATGGGCACTGTTTCCCCCACCACCAAATAAATAAATCCAGTAAATACAAGACAGCTCCCTCTCATTCACATTTTAGTAAGACATCATTAAGCACAAGTACACACACTCTGCATCTACAGAATACTACAAAAATTGTTTGCAGTCTGATTTGTGTGACACATGTATGTATACATGCATATACAACTTACTGGTAGATTGGTTGTGAGGCATCTTTTAGGGTTAAAAATAACAGATAAGTCATTCTAATAAATAGATAATATTACATTCTGTTTAGGCACCATAATTAATTTTTATAACATCTATAATGATAATTTGGATTGCTTCTAATTTTTGTACATTTGTGATTTCCTTAGAATAAATTCCACTGAATTATACCATATATCAAAGGATGTGTTTTATTTTCAACATGATCTTGTATCACCTACTGATCCCTAGAAAAAGGGCATCATTTTCTATTTCCACCAACACAGTGTGAGTGTCCAGAACCCACACTCAGGAAAATATTCATGTTTCAGGAAAACTTATCTAAAACTTCAAGTGACAGCTTCAGGATCAACAGAGGGAAGCTGTCTAAAAAATTTCATTGTTTATTCAACCAATATGTATAGAATCTATCACCAAGATAACATATGGAAAATGTAACAATGATGATGAGGATGATGACCCTTCACTGTATGCCAGAAGCCATCACAGATTCTTTACTCATTTAACTCTTGTAACAACCCTAAAACCAAAATACAACTATTGTTCTCAAGATGAGCTAGCTAACAAGATAAATTAAAATGCGCTTGGCTCTGAGCTAAAAACTATGTGCATATTATCTCATTTAATTTTCCTGAATCTTTACAAACAAATCCTACAAGGTAAAAGTTAGTATCTCCATTTTACAATTAAGAATCCTTTTGCAGGGCCCTCCCTGGTAGTGCAGCAGGTTAAATCATAGCACTAAGAAGCTAAAGCCACTTCAGCATGAATTTGATCTCCACACCAGAGGTGACCCACATGGCACAGCAGATGTCTCCTGACCCACCCACTGCTCCCCGCAGC